GGTGTGTTTCCTTTCAACTTCAGTGTGGTGGTATACAGAGGCCAAATGCCAAAACAGTTATTCTTGTTCCAATATTTCTGGTCCTGACTGCATATAGAAACAGGGATCTAAAGACAGAAAAAGTTTAGTAGGATTTTATTTATTTTTAATTTTAAAAGTTTACTTGTGTCCCCCAGATTTTGTTCCCAAAAGAAGATAGTCTAGACTCTAGGTGAAGAGGAGGTAATCACTGAATTAAATCTGCCAGAGGGAACTCCCAAATACAAGTGTATAGAGTTGTTCAGCAAGAAATGGACTGATTTCAATCAAGACAAATTAAATCACCAAGAGCAGAAGTAAGTCACCTTTCTCGATTTAAAATTACAGTTTCTTGTATAAACATGTATACTGACTTGTTAGAACAGAAGCATTATTCAAACCCTTGATTAAGCAATCTACGGAAGCTGGGGGACAGTGCTATTAATATTGACCTATTTTTCTCCCATCTCAAGGATAGAAGAAAAGCACATTAATATGAGTCTTTCTGCAGATGGTCAGCCTTAACAAATCTAATAAACAAAAAACATGGATGTGAAGAAGAGCACTTTGTTTTAGAGGGGAGAATTTTGCACACCCTGGATTTGGGAAGGAGTTAATCTGTGATAAGATCCTGCCACAAAGCAACAGCCCATTCTATTGTTTTGAAGCTGCTATCTCCCACATTAGGCTCAGGCATTAAGGGAGCAAAATAATGAAATCAAAGTAAATAAAGTCACTCTCGCTGAAAGGCCACCCGCTGGAAGACTTTGATTTTAAAAAGGAGGGAAGGTAAAGGCCTAAGAGTAGAGACCTGGAAACCAGGCAATCTGCCTCTCTGCATGTAGTTGGCTATTGCATATTTATGATCTGAGAACTGAATACATTGCAGAATTCACATAATTTAGAGAACCAGCACTGAGTCCCTGATTATCAGAGCCCAGATGTGGTGGATGGGATGCATCATTAGAATGGATGACCACCATATGCCTCGCCAGTAGCTCTATAGTATACTGGAGTCTGGGAAGAGACCCCGAGGTCAACCACGCAAGCACTACAAAGACAAGGTGAAAAAAACCCTATGCCACTGCGATATCCAGCCAAGGGAACACGAAACTGTGGCTGCTGACAAAACCTGCTGGTGAGCCTTGTACTATGAAGCCTCCACCAGCTTTGAAGACAGGCGCCCCCAAAAACGGATAGAAAATGTCACAGAATAACACCCACAGTTATTATAACAATGGACTTCCAATGCCCATATTGTGCTAGACTTCGCTTCCAGACTGGGACTGCAAAGCTCTATGTCCACAGATGAACTGCACAACAGCATGTCTTCTTCAAACCAGAAGGACTAGCGTATGTATAGAGAACAATCTAGCATCTAAGCTCTATGCCAACTGAACATTCTATACTACAAATGTAGGTAGCCCTACATAGAACATGTTACAATAGTTTTAATAGTTTCTTCCAGAAAGAGGTGCAGTTGGCACATCAACCAAACCTGATAAAAGGTGTTCTTGGCCACTGCCTTAAACTGGATACCAGAGAGAGATTCCAGATGTGCCCCCAGAGAGTATAGTTACACATTCAGGGAAAGTGTGACCTACATCCAGAAACAGATTAGGTGAATTCAGTATACTGATAACAACCAGCTCTAAATTTCCTGAAACTTTCTTCTAACATGCAGATACTGAAAAGGACTAGAGACAAAATGAGGCCCTGAGGGACATATAACAGCTCTCGTTTCAAGGAGCAACTATATCCAAGTGACACCATTTGAAATTACCTAAGACATAGTGCTGCAAAGATGTGCCTCCTATTCCCAGAACATTCAGGTGATCCAGAAGGATACCATGGTATTAAAAGTCACTGAGATGCTGAGAAACACCCAAAGAGTCATTTCCCAGGCCAATTCCCAAACAAAAATCATCCACAACCAACTAAGCTATCACAACCCACAGTGTGTTCTGAAACCAGTTTGAAATGGATCAAGCTAATGTCTCATCTAAGCAACAGATGAGACCATTTTTTTTCTTCATATTTGTTTCCGTTTAATGAATATCTAAAGGTTCAACTGAGAGAGGGGAAGTATCTCAAAAGAACAAACTGTATCATGAGAGAGGCCACCAATTTAGTTCAGTCCTTTAAAAAAAGTTGAAATAAAGACTTGCAGACAACATATCAACTTGACACTCTCTTGGATAAGTTAGACTGCTTAAGGTAATAACTCTGGAAGAATTCAAAACAACTAGTTTCTCTTTCTAAAAAGCAATAAAACTATTGTATTCTGATACTTCAATTTTTATTTTATAGGATCAGTAAAAATGTACATTCTTTGCATTCAAGCAAGACATATAAAGCTGTCCCTTAATATTTTGACAGTGGATTACTGAATTTTACTGAGTTTAGATGTTGTCAGCAAAAAATTATGTTTAACAACACAGAGGCAGAGATGATCTCAGCCCCGCCCCCTTGGGAAATGGGAGACTCAAACATTTTATATATAGTAGAATTAGATTTATCAGAAAGCAAAAATGGCATGTTACTATGTATGCAAACACCCTGTTTAATGTCTAACATAATATGTGAAAAGAATCTATAGCTCAGGTAACTTGCCATAAATCCTCACTATCTTCAGCTTTCCAATGGGCAATTCACTTGCGTTTTGATTAAACATCTATGAATTTGAATTATTATACAGATTGATCAAAATCAAAGTTTATTTGATTTAGAAAGCAGCATACATTCAAAACAGCTTATTGTTTGTGTTGACTACAACAGGGAGGATAAAAATCCAGCAGCGGCAAAAAAACCTTGTAGACAATACTTGCCTGGGTTTCAGGCCTAATTAGTCTTTCCCATAAACAGCATGGATTTTATGGATATTAAACTATTAATAGAAATGTAATTTTTTTAAAAAAGAATAACATATGCAAATTGCAGGATTAAAAAATTATAAATATACATCCTTAAGTTAGTTCATAGACAGATATACTATATTTGGTTATAACCCTGAAGTTTAGCATTAGGAATTAATTTCATCCAAAGATCACATTTGTCTCAGACATACATAAAACCTTCCCTACCTTATGCTTTCTTCTCCAGCATAACAACAAACATCTCAGCACCCAAATGATTACTTGATACACTCTTATTATTTACTAGATTCATATCCTGCCTTTTTTTAAGGAACACAAAGCTACATACATGGCATTGCCTCCTCCATATTTTACCTCCCTAAATAACAACCCATGAGGTAAGTTGGCCTGAGAAACAATGATTAATCCAACATCACTCACTGAGTTTAATATTCTATCTTATTACAAAACTAGTGACTGTTTGACAGATAATTTGTATCACAGTAGAAGAAGGAATAGGGCAAAGTTATGTTTAGGTACATTAAACTGAGATATGGTAATTCAAACTAAGTTATGAAGCCTAATCACTCCAAGTGCTAATATGAGTCAGCCGGATATACAGTGGGGCAAAAAAGTATTTAGTCAGCCACCACTTGTGCAAGTTGTCCCACTT